TATGCGTCATTCATATGTATTCTTAAAACTTGATTTTTTTTTTGCCCCCTAACATTATAACCCATTTAAAAGTTATTGCCCCTTATGCAAAAAACTTTGTTATCCTTCTCCTCCAAAAGCGTAGCCGTGGATTCAATCTCCTAGATAAATTCTCGTGTTCTCATGTTTACTGTATGTGAACAAAGGAAAGGTTGTGAATATCCATATACATAATATGTGTATGTACATATACATAAGTCTAAACATTTCAACAGTCGTTTCCTTAAGCCCTTTATAAAGGTACATGGTGTAAACTTTTGTTTTTACACAACAACACTTCATTCTCGTCTTTAAATCCATACCATGATTTAACCATTCAGAAAATGCTTGTTCAGAAAAATCTGATTCTATAAATCCTAACAAAACACAATTCTCCTCATAGATTAATGTAGAAAAGAAAAAAGAAACATATATTAGCGTGGATCCTTTCAAAAATCCATAGAAATGCTTGCTTTTAAATAGAAAGATTTTTGCGTTTAACTGCAAAAAAATATTGCGTTTAATCGCAATATTATTGCGCTTAAACGCTATATTATTGCGATTAAACGCTATATTATTGCGATTAAACGCGAAAATATTATTGCGATTAAACGCAATAGTTATTGCGTTTCATCGCAATATTATTGCTTTTAATCGCAAAAGACTGCTTTTGATCGCAGTCTTTTGCGAGTAAACGCAAAGTGTTTTGCGTTTAAACGCAATGATTATTGCGATGAATTGCAAAGTCTTGCGATTTTGCGTTTAAACGCAATAAAAAGATTTCTTTCCTTAGACTGGCCTCAACGGGCTTCCGTATTAATGATATTATTAAACTTGAATACTTTGCTTGTTTTTGAAAATAAAAAGAGTTAATTAATATGATTAATAATTTTAATCTGGAAATTGTTTTCATGACAGATAGAACGATAATACGAGCCGAATTTCCAACTTCATAATATCCTTAGCATATTTTATTCTCTCCTAACAAGTCCTTGAGTAATGGATTTACATGTATTTCATAATGTGACGAATATTGATTTTTCAGTTTGAAAGACATGGACGTATCATTATTTAATCATTGCTATTCAATAAAAAGACCTAAAAATGTCATTTAAAGGAAACAAAATAACCACTTCCATATATCTCAGTTAGTTTTAAATGATTCATTAAGACGATGGAAGGGTAAATTATTGTGTACTTTTCTTAAAATATTTCGTACTCGTAATTTTTTTCTGGTTTTAGGGACAAACTTTTGAATGATATGGATGCACTATTTAACAATAATTATTTATTTTTTGTCAATGACATGAACTGACGAAACGATAAGATTTTCCCCTTAAACCATTTCGCATTACAGTATTTAAACATGATAAATGGGACTATTTTATGCAAAAGAATAGCAAATTTGAATTTCTGATTAAGGTTCTAAAGACATGTTTTCCTCTTTATACCGCTAAATATATTTTATATCAAATTTTTATACCATTACGGGGTGTTATGTTTCCTAGAATAACAAGAATATTTCTCCGAAAATATGGTTTATGTTTTCCTTTTTAAATATGACTGTAAAATTGCTGATAAGGCTTTATATGGAAACAATCAATATAATTTAATGACCATTGTCTGCCGCCATCATTTACGCACGATATTCTATACATTAAAACCGAAAGTGAATCTTTCTTCAATAAGGAAGTCGTTTTCTCAGAATAGTAGAGCCTAGCAAGTAAAGTTGTGTAGATCATGGTCTTATTAACAATTTAAAAAGTCTATTTTTGGACAAATATGGTTATAAAATGTAGTCTTTTTACTCTGACACTATTAAATAGTATTTAATTAAAGAAAATAAGAAACTTATACATTGTACGATGTAGAAGTTTCATTTTTATTCTCCGATAACTCATTGAAATTGTGTAGAGCAACTGTCTCTGCAGCACTGAGTTCAGTTTCTCTCACTAATTGTTTAACAGGTAATGAGGTGATCTCTAATGATTATCCCTTTACAGCATCAAGGATGTATTTTGTGTGTGATAGATTTCCACACAGGTTGAAATTGGGTAATCCCACCAGCAAGTTGAATGTCACCTACCTTCTCTGTTTTTGATGAAACACAGATTTCTTCCAGTACGTAGCTTATTTTTGTCTCATGAATGTTGTGATGGTTATTCCTGCTTTTATTCCCAAGCTTATAGTGCTGGGGTCCTTTTACGGCTTCCTAAACAATTAGCTGCCCTTTCTTTGAACTTAGCTACAGATGATACCAAAAAAAAATGATGCCTGGATCGGTATATATTTTTTGGTCTAATTTTATTGCAAATGATGCAAATAACAAATTTCTAGAATATAAAGAAATTATAAACCTTCTGTGGCCCTGAGCGACGCTCATCGTCCATTGTTAAACTCCGTAGATTATGTAATTGTACAATTAAAATATCCTTTCAAATTTACCGCAAATTCTCCTCATTAATTCACTAACCAGTAAGAATCATAAAGTATACCATAAAGGTCACAAAACAAGGTTAAATCCACATACATTATAGAACGTAAAATTGATCGAAACTGGGTCAAACTTTGCATTGAATTCCGGGAATTGCTTTCCAATCTCAAGTGATCTCGACGAATACTGATGGAGAATTATTTTTGCTGTTGGTCCTTACATATGTATCGATAATAAAACAACTAACGAGCTTTGGTAGTAAAAATTGGAAATTTGACTTTTGCTGTCGATTTTATTAAGAAATCTGTAGCTTGAAGAAGTTTCAAATTTTAAGTGAAATTGAGACTTTGGGTGATATAGTTATGCAATTAAAAAGGTATCTGATTTAGATAATAAAACAGTTAATGACTTATGTATAGCTTTCAGATATACCTTTAAGATCAAGATTAGCAATTTCATCCTGTATAATGAGGCAGATAAATTTCCTACAATTTGTATATTCTTAATCTCTTTAATATTTTTAAGGGGGGGGGGGGGGGTCTCAATAGTAGGAAGTAAAAGACCAAATCTTTTACATGCAACGTCAACATTTCAAAGTGACTGATGAAGAAGATGCATTCATCATTTTAAAAATGGGCACTCCATAAAAAAGTAATTTTATTCATAAGTACTGGTATTGTAACAGGACTCAACTTAATATTACATGTAACAGGACAGTTGCAAGCAAAATTTTCTCCTTTAAATCCCTTTTACTCGTACAAATTTGAAAATAAAAACGAACTTAAAAACATTAAAAAGTGGTGAAGTTAATAATCCAGTTTAAAAAAGTATGAATGATATTGGCGATACGCGTTTCTATTTGTATCAAATTAAAATGTTAAAAAAAATGATTTATTTTTCATCATAGATTTATTTTCATTACAGATAAAAAGAATAATACAAGCCCAGGTTTTGTCTGCTGTTGTGAAAATAACGGAAACAATTAATTATGGACAGAAGTATATAGCTGATCTCAAATATGTAAATAAAGGAAGGCTTATTGTTTCTGTCGAAAACACAAAAGGCATCGATCCTTCTTGCATATTAAGAGATGATTCCATTCTATTTCTATCTACTCATTGGTCCTGTTTGTGTTATACAAATGACGAGTTTGGTGAAGGATTCATTTTTTGGAATATAATTGAGAGATCATTGATTGAATGTAGAATCGAAAATCGTAGCTATATAAGATATCCTTTGCCAGGTGAAACATATGCCTTTGATAAATTCCACAGTTTTTGGTTATTGCCAGATGACCTAACTGGTGGATACACACCAAATGGATTAGCAATGTGCAAATTGGGAGCCATTTTGGTTTGTCTGTGGAACAATCAGGTACATGACCGTTCTATAGGTAAAGTACTAAAGTTATCTCATACTGGAATAAGAGTGTTTGAAATAAAAACCGACAAAAATCGTCCACTTTTTATCTGCCCAACTTACTTAACAGAAAACGGCAATGAAGACATATACGTTTCTGATGTGAATGCTGTCGTCGTTACGGACACCAGGGGTTTTCTCAGATTCCGGTACACAGGAGCACAAAGCGATCCCCAGTTTGATCCCTACGGCATCTGTTGTGATTCCAAGAACAACATCATTGTAGCGGACATGGTGAAAAATAGAATTCATATGATTGACCAGAACGGCGAGCTGCTTCACTACATTCAGTATAAAGACATGCACATGCCACGTGCTCTCTGTATAAATAAGCATGATATCCTGTATGTTGGAGAATGGATGTCTGAAGAAATTAAAGTACTTTCACTTCTGAGCCAATGACTGAAGGTTTTTCAACCCTCGAAATTATTATGGTTCAAAATAACAGAAACTGCATTAATTTTCATGTATCATAGTTTTAATTCAATATGAATTATCGCAAAAAGTTATAGGTCGCCGTAAAATTCAAGATATTAAAAATAAATAAACAGAAGTGTATGTCTAAATGAAAAAAAAAGTTATTTTTGTTTTTAAAGTATTGTAAATATTATGAAAAAAACTGGTTCAATTGCATAATTCGGATACTAAGAGTTCCAAAACTTTTGCTAATCAGAAGATAATTTTGATATGTGAATATCAGGGAAACCATTTTACAGTAAAAGTACTCGTACAATATACAAAATATCTAAATGAAGATTTCTGAGGAGGAGTTATTACCCTTGTCACAATTTTTAAGATTAAATACAGTGTAAATCATTAAATACATGTAGTAAAATATACATTTTTTATTTTCTTATTTCTTAATAATATTTTGCATTACACATATTGAACAGCATTTTTTTGAAAAACCTCGTTCTTTTGGTTATGAATTTAAATAAATTAAAGTTTTGCAAATAAGTATGACATCATACGAATGTATACTGTTTAACGTCCCTCTCCAGAATATTTAACTGATATGGAGACGTCACCATTGCCGGTGAAAGGCTGCAAATTTAGGCCTATGCTCGGCACTTACGGCCTTTGAGCAGGGAGGGATCTTTATCGTGCCACACCTGCTGTGACACGGGGCCTCGGTTTATACGGTCTCATCCGAAGGACCGCCCCAATTAGTCATCTTTTACGACAACCAAAGGGGTATTGAGGACCTATTCTATCCCGGATACCCACGGACATCATACGAGGATGGAAATACCTTAAAATAACTCCATTCACGGTACTGATTGATTTTTATTTCATTTTTTGTTTTCATATATATTTTCATGCAAATAGATTTCTATTGTGTCATTAGAATTTCATTGTAAAAAAATATTTTCATGTTCTAACTCGGCAATTCTGATAGTCATCTGGTTTTTCACATTCCCTTTGCTAAGAGGATACAAGAGTTTAAAATCATAGTATTATGTATTATAACAACTTTTTGTACATGTGTAACATATTTGAAGTTAATTTAACTTTACTCTTCTTTTCATACCCCTTTCTTCATTTATAGGTTTTGTATAGAAATATAAATATGCGATTTTATAGATAAGAATACACTTTTTGCCGAGAAAATATTTTTTTTTAAAACAAATGAAACATATGTTCAATTTATTACGATAATCTAGAGTTATTACATAAAAAGATGGTTTTGTTAAAAGCACCTTGATTTCCGTTTAAATGTGATTCTCTCATGATTTCAAGTTTTGTAGCATGGTTTCAATGTGCGACTATTTAAAAGATAGAGTTTCTAAATAACGTGAAGTAATCTGGTGTAACATTTGTTCAGGGTCCTTAAAGCGAGAATCCTCAAGTAACTAACCTGGAATAGATTGATTGATTTTATGTTGTTTAACGTCCCTCTCGAGAATTTTTCAATGGAGACGTCACCGTATGCCTGATTACCGTATGCCAAGTGAAGGGCTTCAGGATAAAACGGAATTTCGCATGATTGACGAGAATGGTGGATTTCTTCACCTACATTCAGTATAAAGATATGAACAAACCACGAGCTCTATGTATAGACGAGCATGATAACTTGTATTTCGGAGAATGGGCTTCTGGGAAATGAAAGTACTTTCACGTCAATGATAGAAGTAGAAGAAATATTTTCTCGAGACTGGTGTGTGGTAATAATGTATATGAATATCCCTTTTTGTACATTTTTAAATTTCGAAGTCTTCAGTTTTTATGTGCAAATTTGCGAACAATTATTGATTTAAATGATATTTGCTTAATTTGCTTAAAGGATTTAAATTATATATTTTTCTAGCTAGGTACAGACAAGATTATGTTAAAATATAATCATGATTGTATAACTTATTACGAAGAGAATCCGGTGAAATGGAAAAATAATGGATTCCAATTTTTTTTGTGCTGTTATTGATAATTATCGATGGCTTTGAAAGATATAATCGATTTGTTATTGATTTCTTCCAATTCTTTTCCCAATAAGATATCAAAACTGCTGCAAAAATGTATTCAAATGTTTTGTGGTGATGTTATTGATTTCTACTTGAGTTCAAAGTTGAGTTTGTTTAATAGTGTGAAATTCAGTGCAGATTGTAAAATATAACTTTTTTTTGGTTAAATTTTGAACTTTAAACGTATTATTTTAAACAATAAATAATTAAATGTATTCAGGCTATATCTACTGAAAGTAAACCAACGGTACCCGCTGAAACGCCTCAAAAATGTACCATTCCTTTCACTTTTCATATGAACTTATATATTCTTTGATCAGACTTGTAGAAAATATTAAATTGTTTGTAGTATAGAAGTATTTAGACTGATCACATGATGGCAGTGCCGGTGAAAGTTCTTTTGCTTTCTTTTTAAAAAGATAATATTAAGTAAATAAATATTCCGAGGAATAAACCAGTGACTGATAGAATTATTCCTTTTTGTATTATAGTTTGTGATTTGAGAGCTATCAATTGTTCTTAAAATGCTGATTATCTTTAATATAAATGTCGACTGGAAATGTTATTCATAGCTAATTATTCCGACCTCATTATTTTCTGTCAGGGATACATATCTCTCAGTCAATTAACCAAGATAAATAAATACAGAGACATCTCAGCTCCTCCTTCTCTGTATCGCAATTGTACACTCTTACTGACCAAACAGATAACCTAAGGATTACAGCTTTAATGATTTGTAAATTTCTATTTAGATAAACATAACTATAAAATACACATAATAAATATACATGTATATCCTAAATGACTGAGCTATACATCTGAATTATTTAATACTAGACCACACAGTCTGTAATGTAAATTTTATTGAAATTTCAGTGAACAAGAAAAAAAAGAGAAACATGAATAAGGCATGAAAATTCATCGATAACTTTAAGACTAGACTGCATATCGGCTGCAATTGCTTTAATTACGATAACAAAAAGTTAAAGTATCTTTGATTACAGATTACTCTCCAGTACTTAAAAATATGTGATGCATTATAATCCATTACGGTTACTCTATCAAAATTATCTCATGACTGAAGTGTTGTACATTACTTGCTAACAATTTCTACAAATCATTCAGTTGAATATTGTGGGAAAGTCCTGTCCAAAATCACCTGCGGATGAAATTAGAAAAGAAGGGTGCGGTGATTACTAAGGATCAAGTCAATCTATAGATTGTTTTTGTTTCTGTGTCACATGCATTTGTTCAAGACTCTTATCCATTAGTGTATGGTCGTTTGGAGGAACAGTTCCACTGGGCTCTTAAATGTAATTCCCGAGTCTCTGATTTTTTTTTTCCAAATATTACACGTTTTGGCTGTCGTAGGTGAGGTGTATTATTAATCTTTCATTTGAAACAAAATCAAATTGTTCTAGGTAAGACGTAAAACCTAACAGGTAAAGTTGCATTTAACTTGGTCTTATGAAAATTATCCACTATATTGTTAATACTAACAATGTTTCTTTAATTATTTTTAACAAAGTCCGTCAATAAAATTATACAAAAGTATTTCTGCCTTGCCTGTTTGACTTTTAATCACTTTGGGACAAATCTACACACGCTACATACCGGGATAAAATATAAGTAAATGTCACGTATAGGCTATAGAATCCGTTTTTTTATAACAACAAAAAAAACTCCAGTTTGGAAGATACAAATTATAGTGGTCAAGAAAAACATATAATTTAACTTGTAGTCTAAATGAAAATTGTGTGGATTTAGTGTAGGTTGTATTCTATAAAATACTTCATGCAATATGTAAAATGACCTTCACATGTATTATTATTACTGGCCCTAACGTCCATCAATTAAAAAAAGTTCTTCTAATTTTCTTGAGCAATCATCCTTGATCGACTTATTTTCTTCTCGTGATACCAGTTTATACAACCAGAAAATGATTATGATCTTTGGGGTTGTTTAAATTTGGTGTGGATGTATGGAGCACCAATAGAGCTTACATTTAAAAAGATAAACAAATGTAAATGTTAAGGAGAAAAACATATTTTTTTATATGCTTTCCATTTTTGAGCTTTATTTGTTAAATACATAACTATTTGAAATTTATGCATAACTTATAATATTTTTTCATTCAATAATCAAATCCGTTTTTTAAATTACATTTAGAGACGAAATTTATTTATATCCAACAGGTACACAAAATAAAAAAAAAAAATTTTGAATAAACGTTGATTATATATGTTGATTCAACGTTTAGTTGACAAAACATCAATTAACAATTGAGTAGCTTCAATGTAACCTTGATACATTCATTAAAAAAATTGGTGGACTGACATTAGCGCCAGTTGGATTTCGAAAACATCCATTATCACAATTGATTAAGATACTATATACATAAGATAATAAACCGAGCTTTAAATTTTAAAACTTTATCACAGCTGTATCTATGAAATTTTTAGAAATTTCGAAATTCTCAAGACGTACCTCTTAAAATTCAAATTTTGCGAATTCGTTCTGAATTCATAGCAATCATTGTTTACAATTTAAATACTTACCATCCTCTAGTTAAGCTATCTGTCAATTATATATAGTAGTGCGAATTTGTCAAGTCCCACCTTATAATGGTCAACCATTTTTGTATTCCTACAATTTTATATTCCGATTTATGTGTAAATGCAAAAGATACGATTCCCACTAGCCAAAGATCCGATGTTGAATCAATGTTGGCAATACAAATGTTGAATCAACGTAACATTTTCAACGTTGAAAAGTCAGTGTTGAATCAATATTGAATCTAGATTTATTTAAACCAAACTTCAACTAACATTTCACGTTTCTTCTGGCTATATTACTCAGTCTGGAGAGAAGATAGTCTTGTTGACACTTTGCTTAACAAAAGAACACTCTAGATATGTGAATGTGTGTCTTGCTTTGTATATGCTCAATC